ATTGAAGTAAAACAATAGAAAGTGGGGTGAAAATCTCACTGACATGAAATCAGAGACCATTGCTTCATTCAGAATCTCTCCAGATCCTTCAGATTCCCAGCTCAATGTTGGTGGTGCTTCTCTTCAGTTCACCCCATTCATTTTCTATAGGGTTCAGGTCAGAGGACTTGGATTGCCATGGCAGAAGCTTCATTTTGAAGGATCCAGAAGGATCATTGTCCTGATGGAAGATCTAAACATGGCCCATTATAAGATTTCTAACAGAGGCAGTCAGGTTCAGATTTTTTATCTGTTGGTAATTGATAGAATCCATGATGCCATGTATCTGAACAAGATGTATATATATTGACTAACTGAAATATTTAATGAAAGTATAGCTTAAAGATTTAAAATGCTTTCAAGAAAACAAACAGCACAGAAAAAGCTAACTCTGTACCACACATGGTTTGTGTGTGCTTTTAATTGCCTGCCACGTTCAACTTTCCCACTCAACCTCCATCTTCTGCTCATTACAGAGATGAATGAGTGTTTGGATGTGTTTGACCTGTGTCAAGGTTAGCCAAGGGCCTCTGATGTTGTCGTTCTCTGGCAGCACAGAGGTCCGATTGGGGCCTTAGGTCTTTACTGCAGCCTGTCCTTACATACAGTACACAACCACGATTGTTTCTTTTAAAGGGTTGGTTAGCTTTTTATAAGTGCCTGCTCATTGTTCACTACGGTTTACGAGTTAAGTGTGTGTAATCACCTTAAAGATGCACCAGCACACAATTTGTGTTTGTTTATCAGCCAGCGAGCAGCTCTTCAGTGTGATTGGGCTCATTGAAACGTGGCGGATGCTTTTAGCCTGGGCAGCGAGCTAATAGTGAGGCTCTGATACAGCACGCCGTTCCTGTTAAAGGCTCCCTGATTTTCCTCAAATTGCTCTTATTACTGTAATACCTGTACAGTAATGACACATGCTGACACTATTGTAGTGACTTTCCCTTTTAAACAACAACAACAACAAAAATGGTCATGGTACAGCATACAGTGATGTGTAGTAATGGTATAGTACAGTATACTATGGTACTGAACGGTTACTCCAGATGGTGTCAAAAAACACATTGTTATACCATGCTACTTTTGTGTTAGAGGTTATTAGTATTATACGTTTTTTTGTTAGTGTTATAATGGCATTATTCAGATGTATGACCTTGTACAATACAAATGGCTTTCTAGCTCAAAATTAGACATTCATATTGCTACCAAAAAGAGTGTTTGAGTCTAAAGGTAAATTTGAAAATTTAAGGTCACAATTAAACTTTTTTGACATTTATACAAGACATTCCTCAAAACTTAAATAAAGTAAGAAAGTAAGGATTGGAGTGACTAGAAATATTGTCCCTCATTGCTCTGATACAGCACGCCGTTCCTGTTAAAGGCTCCCTGATTTTCCTCAAATTGCTCTTATTACTGTAATACCTGTACAGTAATGACACATGCTGACACTATTGTAGTGACTTTCCCTTTTAAACAACAACAACAACAAAAATGGTCATGGTACAGCATACAGTGATGTGTAGTAATGGTATAGTACAGTATACTATGGTACTGAACGGTTACTCCAGATGGTGTCAAAAAACACATTGTTATACCATGCTACTTTTGTGTTAGAGGTTATTAGTATTATACGTTTTTTTGTTAGTGTTATAATGGCATTATTCAGATGTATGACCTTGTACAATACAAATGGCTTTCTAGGTCAAAATTAGACATTCATATTGCTACCAAAAAGAGTGTTTGAGTCTAAAGGTAAATTTGAAAATTTAAGGTCACAATGAAACTTTTTTGACATTTATACAAGACATTCCTCAAAACTTAAATAAAGTAAGAAAGTAAGGATTGGAGTAACTAGAAATATTGTCCCTCATTTGTATATATCTTTAGATAGAAGTGTTTGCTAAATGAATCAATGTAAATATAAATCAGCTAATTAATGACATTAATGCATTCTTTTCTGTAAAAGTCCTTTCAAAATATGGATTGAGAAAAGTGGTATACCAGTAGAAAACAATACCATTCATAATTTTGTTCAAAACCTTTTTTTAAATAAATGCTGTTCTTTTGAACTTTGTATTCATACAAAAATATGAAGCAGCACAACTGTTTCCAACATTGATAATAATAAGAAACGTTTCTTAAGCTGCAAATCGGCATATTAGAATGATTTCTGAAGGATCGTGTGACTGGAGTAATGATGCTGAAAATTCAGCTTTACATCACAGAAATAAGTTACATTTTAATATGCATAAAAAAAACAATAAAAAAAAAGTTATTTTAAATTGTAATAATATTTCACAATATTACTGTTTTTACTGCATAAAAAGTGCAGCCATGGTGAGCATAAGAGACTTCTTTCAAAAACATAAAAATCTTATCCCAAACTTTTGAATGGTAGTGCATATATTTTTCAAATTTTGGGTGCCATTATTTGGACAAACAGCTGATCCCATCCTAAATTTACGGTGTTGGTTGAAGCGATGACACATCAGGTAATTCACATGTTCATAATGCCGCAATGTCTTACAGCACTACAAATGTATGAGATAGGAGAAAGTTGACAGAAAGCAACATTAGCTTTAAATAAGAATTAGCTGTCTAAGGCTCTATACTGAAATTAATTATGTAGCTGTGTCTGGACTGATGTATTGGCGGTCAGTATCTGCTGATATTGCTCAGACAGCTTTAGCTGAGTTTATTAGGACTTGTTTTGTACTTTGAGCGATCCACTTTGTCACAGTACCATCTGTTTGCTTTGTTAATGTTGCTGTGTGCCACTTCTCTTCTGTGTTATTCATTTATATCTGCTGTTCCTGAATAAGTAAAGATGTGAAGCCTGGTTAGTTGGCTGGACCCGTCTGCATTTATCTATGAGTGCATGTAATGAGCAGCATATAGACTCTGTGGGAGAAAGTTTTGAAACATAGTGAATATATATACAGTATATATATATATATATATATATATATGAAAATGTGTGTGTGTGTGTTATTGTTCAGAGCCAATGCTTCATTTGAGCCACTACAAAAGTTTTTATCTCTCTCTCTCTCTCTCTCTGTCTCTTTCTCCCTAACTTTCTGTTCCAAAGTGCAACTGAATTATATATTGGTTTCCCTTAAGCACAAAGTCAGAGTAATAATTTAATGCATGAGTCATAAAGGTGCCACTTGGCCTCAGTGCCTTCCATCATCTGTGTGTGTGTGTACTTGTGTTCAGTGTCTGTGACAGATTTCAATAATGACGTTCATAATAAACGCTGTGTGTGTAAGATGCCTCTGCTTTGTTGTCTGTCACCTATCAATTCGTGTCGATAAAGTAAAATAGAGTAAATCCTGTATAGTATTGCATAAAGCAAGTAGTGCATACACTTGTAGCTGTTATGTATCTTTGTAAGTCATTGTAAGCCCTCTTGAGGCACGCGCAAGCCCCCCCCCCCATTATAAAAAAAACAAGTGGGCTACCCCAAAGTCCACGTTATAGTTCGAACACTGCTGTGGAGAGTTGTGTTTCTGGAGCTGATCTATCACACATCAGTCTCAGACTACAAACCCACAGATTGTCTGATGAATATAGATCAATTTATCATGATGGCACATCCTGGTTTTCAAGACAAGCAGTTTTTAGTGGTGACTTTGAGCAGCACTGCACTTTTAATGATCTGATGAACATTATGTATTTTATGAGTGTTAAACAAAGTTATTATAAAGTTATGCCTATGGTTCATAGTAGAGTACAACGTGTAACAGGTTGTTGAATACACATTCTCAAATCCATAATTCAAAAATTCTAAAGCTTAAAAAATAAAAGTAAAAAAAATGCTCTTTTCAGCAGCAGAATGTTTAAATACCCAATTTCAAGTAATAATATTTGACGTCACAATTTTTTTTTATACTCAGAAATTGGTAGTAAATTTAAGAAATAATTAGAAAGAAATGGCAAGTAACACATTGAATTGAACATGGTATTTTAAAGTAAAAAGACTGAAATAGTATTTTCTTGAAAAACATACTCCAATGATGAAAAATTTTTTTTTTTTACAGTGTACTTTATTGCTTCATTTTTATTTCATATTTCAAACCGTACCAGTGCGTTCTGCTCTAAAAAAATGGTGGAAACAATTTTCACTTGCAAATTGCTAGAAAATTTCACAATTAATTACGTGAAATGGCAAGCAACACATTGACTTAAACATGAAATTTCAAAACAAAAAGACTGAAATAGTATTTTCTTGTAAAACATAAGCTTTGTTTTATTTGCAGCTTTGAAAAATCCTTTTTTTACAGTGTGCTGTGAGACTTGGTCGTGTTAGATCAACGGTCATGTATTTGACCTTATATTTGTCACAGTAGTAAAGTCGTTGTTTGTGCAATCCCTCAGAGATATGCTAATCTACTCACACCAGCGGCGGGTCACTGAGGTCTTATTAGAGCAGAAGCAATGATCTGTCATAACGTGTGTCAAATCCTGAGTTTGTCCTGATTCACTGATCCTGATGGACTTTGATCTGCAGTAATTATTTGGAAACGGTGTTTGAATTCCACATACAGTACATTTTCTGGAGTGCTAAAATAACTTTTTTTCTGGGGTGTTAAAAGAACATGCCATTGTTGCCACTATTTTTTTGTTTGTAAGAAATTATTTTATCTATTGCATATAAAAATTCCATCTCAGAATCACAAGGTCCAGTCTGATTGATTATGATTATGAAAATTCTCAAATAGCGGATCTACTGTTTTCTGTGCTGATTTTTGAGTACGTGTGTAGATAAAGGATTTGTTTGATTTCAGAAATGTTGTGCATGTCTCATTTGTCATCATGAAGTTATATTATGCTTATATTTGCATTTTTATGGCCAGACTGCAAAGTCGACCAATAGTCAAAAGTAATATGCCATCTGCAGAAGTGCTTGTATAGCCCAAGTGTCACAGTTCCGCTGACCTCTGTTTTCTGTGCGTCTGCAGGTACACTCAATGTTCTCACGAGGGTGAAGAGCATCGCCACTGTGGATTCTGCAGTCTGGTCTCTCTCCGGACACCAGGGGCCCGAATGGAGGAAGGCGGATGCTGAGATCTATCCGAGCGGACCCTTCCAGGTATGACTGTGTTTATGTGCAGGTGTGTGTATGAGAGTTTGTATGCAAACACATTGTATGCAAATGTGTCTTCTGATCTGTGTGTGAGTATGTGTGTGTGTGTTATGCACATGTGGCTGTGTGAGTATATTTTCTATAGCACACATGTGGACGGGGATATATCAAATATTTATGATATATGCATGATGCTTTTGGTAGTGATGTTTTCTTTTTAATGCAATTAGAGCAATTGGATTGATATTTATCTATTATTTTTTACTTATTTTGTGCAGTCCATGTTGGCAGGTGTGATATGTCTGCACATGCGTGAGTGTTTGTGTGTGGTTAGAGGGTCTGTGGGGGGATGATTGAGGAAGTGCTGAGTCGTGCTCTACTGCTCTCCTCTGGACCTGTGTTTCTGCTGAGTTGAGCTCTCAGCACAACAGCTGCAAAGACCAGGAGACGTTTTACTGCTCATCACAGAGGAGAAAAGGTGCTAGAGAGAGAAAATGACAAATTGAAAGAGCTTGAAGAGCAGGGCTGAAAAAAGAGAGATTTATACAGCGAAGAAAACTGAGAAGGGCAGAAAAGGATGAACACCACATGCAATAGGGATGGAAGGGGATTTTCAGGGGAAAAAGGGAGAGTTTACAGGTAAATGGGACACACTTAAATCTGGGCTCATTGGTCCTGGTCTTGTCAGATTATTTTACCCTCATTCTTTCTACACTACTGCTTAAAAGCGACAAGAAATTGCATTTGACTTTCATAATGGGACAAATTTCCAGGTGAAACTGAATATTCAGTGGGAAACAATGTAGGACAGGGCTGAATCTTATCCTTTTGGGATTTGATTGGATCAGGAAATATAGGCTATGTTATTTATTAATATTTTTTGGCTTCACCCAAGTGGATTATAACTGCAGAAAAAAAGTTGTTTCATAGGTGGACAACAATATTACATTTTGATGAAGATTATGAAAGCATGTAGAGCAATATAAACTGATGCATCATGCACAGTAAGACCAGGATCACTAGGTTTATTTTCTTAGTTGACATTTCCAGTTTTGTTGTGCCCCAGTTTTATTTTAGTATTATCACTACTATTATATTTTGTAATATTATTTTAATATATTAAATTTATATATATATATTGTTTTTATTTGAATTTTAGTTAAAGATGTAGTAGTTTTGTGTTTTTGACATTTTTAGTAGTTTATAGTATTATTGTAACGGGGCTGACAAGACGTGAGACGTGCGGATCCATATGCAAGCTTTATTAACATGAGAGGAGGTCAGAAACACAGGCAGGGTCGAACGGTGGCAAACGTCTCGGTTACGTATGGTAACCCTCGTTCCCTGAAGGAGGGAACGGAGACGTCACGTCGGATGACCGACGAATTGGGATCTTGCTTAGAGAGACCAATCTACTTCGAGTGTAAACTAAACGAGCCAATGCACATTGGCATGC